ACGCCTCCAATTTTTCCTGCCCGCGTTTTTTCCCCCGGTTTCAACGCGGAGTCAAATGTAAACCCCTCCTTGTGTTTTCACTGTCCTCCCCTCTGTACACTCTTCATTCGCACATGTGTTGATTGTTGAATTGCAGATCAAAATTCCTCCCTACGTCTCCAAGTGTATGAGCATTGTGTGTGTTGAGATGGTGTGAGCAGCCAGCGCGATGGAGCTGCCTGAGCTTCCCTGCTTTTGATTTTCTTGACTCAGCGCGTGCGGGCGCGCAAAGTGACAGCTGTGTTATTAATATTCTAACTGTGAAGGCGTTGGGCGGGACCGAGCACGCTGGCTGACTCAAAGTGGTAGAGCCGGTCACACGAGTGTCGACGAGACCTGGCAGGGCGGGTGAAAGATGGTTGGCGACTAGCTCCAGCAACGGAAAGTGTTTGCGCGGGCTGCGCCAAGCGGAAAGCAGAGCCTGCGTGTTCGGTACGCGGCGCCCGCCAAATGGCCCAAGCGGGCCCAGCTAAGTGTGATGCGAGAAAGAGACACAGCGAGAGCGTCCACTTGGCAGGCCCTGCGTAACGAACAGGCGGAGTCTCACAGACACGCTCCCAGCTCTAGGCGGGCTCCGCCAAGCGGAAAAACGGATGACAAGGCCAGCGAGCGTGTACATTTGGCAGGGCCTGCGTGTACGCTACGCAGGGCCCGCGAAATGCTCTAAGCGGGCCCAGCCAAGCCTGAGCCGAAAGTTGAGATCAGCGAGCGCGTCTGTTTGGCAGGTCCTGTGTGAGCGACCAAGCGGGGACTCGCAGACGCGCTCAACGCTCCAGGCAGATCCCGCAAAGAGCTTTAAGCGGGTCCAGCCAGACGTGAGACCGCGATCCGAGCCAGCGAGCGTCGCTCGTTGGCGGGCTCTGCCTGAGCCATCAAGCGGAGGCGGCGAACTTCCCTCGCAGTATGGACCCGTGACTCGCAAGAAAAGAACCTGTCAAGACTCAGATGGAGTCTACGAACAAAGGCAGCGAGCGATGTAGTTCGTCTGCATGCCAAATCGAGCCGCGCTCGTCATTCAAGCGAGCTGTTCCTCCTCGTAGAGGATGCGCTTGGTCATGAGCCGGATCTGATCGTAATCCTTTTCCTGCCATTGCTGGTCGATAAGATCCATCTAGTAAATCACAAGTGCGAGAGCCTGCGCCTTGCCATAAGCGGGGAGATAAAGATCGAGTGTCCTCGTGCCTCGACTATCGTGGCTAAAACCAATTGCCCTGACTTGATACTCTTTCTTCATCACGGTGGTGTTCCTCACCGGACGCGCCGTGACTCTGACTACTTCAATGTCGTCGACCTTCGCTCCAACCCCTTTACTGTCCTCTTTTTCATGAATCTTCTTCCGGGAGAGGAGGAAGGCCTACAATCTTGCGCGCCAAGGTTCGACAGAGTCTGCCCTTCCAACCATGGGCGAACTCCTGCTAGGTTGGCAGCCGGGCTGGCATGCTTGTTCCTGTTCCTTACTTCTGTTGCCGAGGCTGAGCAGTGTTGGTCATATCAGCTAGAATGGGGCGAGAAAAGGGACCAGCAGCAGAGGCAGACATGGAGGCAGTAGTCGGTTTATCGGCTGCGGTGAACGATGAGACAAGCAGCGAGGCAGTCGAGAGGCTTGGTGACCACAAGCTGGGCGTCGTTGGTCCCAGGATGGGCAAGGCGGAGGCGACTGCGGCTAAAGCACTGGCTACACTGGCAGCGGTAGGGACATTGGCCTCATCCGGGGACGCAGCGGATGGAGACTGAGGGCAACATGGAAAGGAGGTGGACGATATAGTTAACGACAACAGCAAGGTAGCAGAATGATCGAGAGAACGGAACGCCACCTTTTGAGCGGCGAGCTCGTCGACATGCCTCCTCTATTTGAGCCGCGAGGTGGAAGCCACGCGAGTGGCGACGGCGGTGGCACCAGCAAAGGTCTCATTGGAGCGCTCGAGCGCCTTGTCTTCTTCACAACGACAGCACAGACAATGTATACTGTAGGAGCAGACAATCTCATTGCTGCATGCTCGTGAATGCCAGCTGCTCATTGAACCCGATACAGCTTCGCCATCCTCGCCAGAGCCTCCTCGTACGCCTCACGGAGCTTGTGCAGCTCGCGAGTGGCGGCGTCTCCTTCTACAAAGTCGACCACTTCATCTTCCTTGTGCTTCATGGGCTTGACCTTTGCAATCGCTGTTTGACGAGCTATCGACTGGACCATCTTCTTGAAGTGTCGCGCCTCTTGCTCTTCCACGAGCGTCCATGCGTCGCCATGTTTGCCTGCTCTTGCTGTTCGGCCCACACGATGGACGTATTTGGCAGGATCGATCGGCGCATCGTACGAGATGACGTGTTCCACAGAAGGCAGGTCGATACCTCGCGAGATAAGATCAGAACAGACGAGGAAGTTGATCTCGCCCTGACTGAAGGCAGTAAGGATGCGTTGACGATCCGAAGGCTTGAGCTCGGACGAGTAGTTCTTGACAACCAAGGGTCTGCTGCCGCGTGCAATGAGGCCATTCTCGCTTCGGACCTCTTCGAAGATCTCGACTAGCTTGACCAGCCGAGCGGCGGAATCGACTGACTTTGTGAAGCAGAGCGCTTTGCGAATGCGGCTGACGTTGGTCTCGATATCGGGACGATGAAGAAGGTAGAGCAGGTGGAACGGCTTGTCTGCGGAGGTTGTGACGAGCATGTGTTCTCGAAGCGAGTGCGGGAGCGAGAAACGTTCGTGTTGCTGCGCGCCGTTCCTGCGTTCATCTTCCTCGTCGCCGACAGAGTGGCTGTCCTGAACGGTGATGTAGTGCGGGTTGCGCAGGCCGAGCGCAGCAATCTTGGCTGGATCCCGGGTCAGCGTCGCTGAGAAAAGCAACTTCTGTACGGACGGTCCGGCTTCTTCCTGCAGTGTCGACCACGCAGCTGCTCCAAGACCAGAGGCGCTGGACGATAGGAGCTCGTAAGGGGCTTGCGCCGAGCCTTGCTGCTGAGCGGGCGCGCCTCCGGCATTCTGCTGCTTAGCTTCCGTAGCAGAGAGGACGCGGCGGAGCCACTCCTGGAAAGACTGATTTAAGAGACGATCCGCCTCGTCAATTACCAGAAATCGTAGGTGAGCGAGGGTGAAGCCGGGCGTCGAGTCGAGGTGATCGATGAGTCGACCTGGCGTTGCAATGAGGATGTCGATCTTCGCTTCCAGTTGTGCGTCCTCCTCATCTGGCTCGCCTGAGTCGGAAGGGCCGACGAGTTGGTTCTGCTCGTGAGCGAAGCTGTGCTGACCCGTCGCTGTGCCGATTCTCAACCCTGAGCCTTTTGCGACCAGCTCCAACGTGGACCTGACCTGCGCGACAAGATCGCGAGTGGGAAGGACGATCAACGCTCGCAGTTGAACGATCTGACGTGTGCGGAGCACTTCGACAATGGGAACGCTGTATGCCAGCGTCTTTCCGCTTCCTGTTGGTGCGGAAACGCACAGATCGCGTGGCGGGGCAAACGGCCGATACAGAGATCGACTCTGGGGCTGAGCGAGCAGACATGGGATGACGGACATTTGGACAGCGAACCACTCGCTGACACCGAGCGCTTCGAGACGAGATCGGACCGTGTCGTTCAGGGCTACCCTGCCAAAATCGTCATTGGACGCGCTGCTGGCGGATATTGTTACCGACTCCTGGTCATCCGAGGATGCTTCTGCCATGTCTTGAAATGCGCCACCGTCTATGGGCGGTGTTGCAGACGCCTTGCTGTTCATAGCTGCTTTACTGGAAGACGCCGGCTTGTGGATCGGTTGCGATAGCGTGGGATTGACGACGGTGCGGTTGGAGAGGCCTTCCGGTAGACCCAGGGAGCGAATGAGTTTTGGGTCCACCGCTTTCTTGACTCCCGCAAGGGGGAAGCGTTCTAACGCCTGAGCCTGTCTTTCCGCATCAGCCTCGACTTCCATATCAACATCCTTGCTTTCGGCTTCCGGAATCGCTTCATCAGGGTGCGAAGAGGATACCGACTCGGAGTCATCGGAACCATCTTGCTCGGATTCGGAGCCTGAGTCCTCCGACGAGTCTGAATCTGAGCCGGAAGAGGACGAAGCCTCGGATCGCTCGTCTGTTCTCGTATCTGCGTCCACTGCTGCTTTCTTCTTCGTAGCCTCCCGTCGATGCAACGCGTCTTCTTCTGGCAAGTGCGAGACAATCGAATTGTCTGCTACTGCCGACGCTTGTGCGGCGGCATCCTCCTTCGACCTCTTGGGCGCAGCACGTTGTCTGGCTTTGCGACGATCTTTCTTGGCCTTGAGATATCTTTGCTTCGCTTTTGTCTTCTCCTTTGGTCCTGTGCGCGCTTTGTTGACGGACTGCCGCAAGATCGGTGCGACGCTGAGGCGGGAAGGGTGGATATTGAGTGTGGGCCTTGTCGCGGGAGCAGACGGCATCGGGACAGCAGCAGCTTGAGGTGGAGCGGAGGATGATGTTGTCGCGGATACTTGCGCACCTGATGCTTCGGATCCATGAACGGCCTTGCGTTTCTTGAGAATGCGCTCGTTAAGAGCATCCAGCTTGGCGTTGTCTACCGGGCCATCTTTGCTTCCCGACGATGACTCCGCATTGAAGGCATCGAAGCGCTTGACTGTGAACATGACGTGCGAGCTCTTATCGCTGCGCTGTAATTGCAGCTAGAGGTCCGGTTCGGTGCGTGTGGGATTGAGCATGCAATGGTCCAACGAAGAGTCGATGATGCCGGTCTGCTTGGCTGAGGGTGAATCTTGAACCCTGGACACCATCAAAACGCTCTCCTCTTCAAAAATTTCTGGAAGAAACACGGAACTCGGCGCGGCGCTCACCTGCTTCATGTTAGATTTAAAGTCACTCTGATTCTCCACATCAAGATCTCGGATGCTGAGTCTTGACCGCTTCAGGATTCTTCCTCGCATCAACCATCCATCGCTCATCAGCGTCGCAATAGGGAGTGTCGCTGTCGAGCGGACGTCAAGATGCCTGCTGCAACCACGCAGTCCAAGTCGACCACAGAGATTGCCAACGCTGGCTTCTCGCACATTCAGTCGTCGAAAGGCAGCGCGGTCCGTACTTCGCCCGACTTTCTCGTGGTCGTGCTCGACATCAACCCGCTAGCATGGACGAGACGATCCGAGGCGTTGGGCAAGGGCAAAGCAAAGGAAGTTGCCAGCGATGTAGCCCTTCACGATGCGCTCTCTGCCATCATGATCCTACTCAACGCGCACATGGCAATGCAGCACGAGAACGGCCTGGCCATCTATGCGGCCGGCGGGACGGGCGCTGCACAGCTCCTCTACTCGACCGCGCCATTTTCGAGCAAAGCCCCAGACACAGGGCCAAGATCTTCAGCGGCCTCTACTAGCATACACAAGCCAGATGCCAACACGTATCAACCCTTCAAGCTGGTCGACGACAACCTGGAGCAAGGCATTCGAAATACCTGCGCGTCCATGTTTGACCGCGCAAGACTAGCACAAGAAGCCGCACAGGCGAGTGCAGACAACGATGGAGCGAAGCATGCGGCGTTGGCGCGCTCGGTCAACGTCGGCATCGTGTCTGCCCTTTCTCAAGCTCTCTGCCACCTCAACCGGCTCGGTCTGAGTGACGCGACCGATGCAGCCAATGCCGGGAATGGGATTGCGGCGACAGCACAGACGAGAGCGGGTGGAGGTAATGCTGCGTCTGGCACTGGCGGCGGTGGAGGCGGCAACATCGGAAGCTTCAAGTCGCGCATCCTAATCCTCAGCGTAACTCCGGACGCATCGACGCAGTACATTCCAATGATGAACTGCATCTTTGCGGCTCAGAAGAAGGGCATCACCATCGACGTCTGCAAGCTGTTCGGCAGCGACACGGTGTTCTTGCAGCAAGCTTCGTATCTCACCTCAGGCACGTACTTTCGGCTTGCGGATGATCAGGACGAGAGGGGCAGCAAGTCGAATGGAGCAACAGACATGCGCTCCAGCCTGGTGCAGACACTGATGACGACATACCTGCCCTCAAGGTCGATGCGAGGCGTCATGAACCTGCCCACGCTGGAAGAGATTGATTTCAGGGCGGCTTGCTTCTGCCATCGCCGAATCGTGGATATCGGCTACATTTGCAGCGTCTGCCTCAGCCTCTTCTGTCAGCCCAGGCCGTTCTGCCTCACGTGTCGGTCGAAGTTCCCCAAGGAGACGCTCACAAGGTATGAGAAGGAGTTGCAGTTCACAGCGGGCGCCGGAGAGACAGATTCATCGTAGTGGAATCACACCTATGTTAACAGGACTGACTCGCGCGGATCGAAGAGCGAGTTGGAACGCGCAGTTCGAAGCCAAAGCTTAGTTGTGTGTGAATCTGTGTGCTGCGCAGCTGAATTCGTTTGCCACGCGGAAAACTCCACTTTGCGCGTGGACCACCCAATCTCACAAATGGGCTGAGCTCACAGCCATCCTTGTTACCATCTTCATCCTTCGACATCCTTTCCTCCGCTACTTCAACCACAATGGCAGACTCTAGCGATGCGGCTACGCCGCTCAAGATCAACATCAAGGGTCCTTCCGATCTGAAGATCACCGTCGACATCACTTCGGATCAAACCGTGCGACAGCTCAAGGAAGCCATCGAGAAGCAAAAGCCCGACGTCCCCGCTGATGCGCAACGACTCATCTACGCCGGCAAGGTGCTCAAGGACGAAGAAGCACTTTCGGTCTACAAGGTCAAGGACGGTAACACTGTGCACATGGTCAAGTCGGCAGCTCGATCCGCCCCTACTACGGGCAATCCCTCGGTACCTGGTACTGCACCCTCTGCGAGCAACCCGTCAAGCAACGCCGCCGCATCGCAGTCGCAAGGCGTGCCATCCAACTTTTCGGCCGGTCAAAACTTCACCAATAACCCTCTCTCGGCGCTCAACCGTGCCGACTATGCCGGCCCGCACATGGCAAGACTGCTCAACGAGAGCGGTGGCGCTTTCGGCGGCATGGGTCTCAACCCGCGCGATCCCAACATGATGATGGGTCTGATGCAGAATCCCGAAGTGCAGCGTCAGATGCGCGACATGATGGCTCGTCCGGAGTTCATCGATCAGATGATCGCTATGAACCCGCAGCTGCAAGGCATGGCGCCGCAGATGCGCGAGATGATGCGCTCGGAGCAGTTCCGCGAGATGATCACCAACCCGGAGACGATGCAGAGGATGACGCAGATGTCGCAGCTCATGGAGAGCGCCGGCATGGGAGGAGGAATGGGTGGTATGGGCGGTCTCGGTGGCCTCGGCGGCTTTGGTGCCGGTGCGGCAGGCAACAACGCCGGCGCTGGCGGTCAGTGGCCTCCTCCTGGTGCCTTCGGTCAGGCTGGCGGCAACAACAATGACGGCGCACGCACCGCCAGCCAAGGCACCACTGGCTCTGATGGATCGACCGGCCAAGCGCCAGCGAATCCGTTTGGCGATCCCTCGTTCCTTCAGCAGATGTTTGGCGGCGCCGGGGCTGGTGGGTTTGGAGGTCTCGGCGGACTCGGTGGGATGGGTGGATTCGGCGGAGGAGGCGCTGCCGCATCGCGAGACACTCGACCGCCTGAGGAGCGCTTCTCATCGCAGCTAGAGCAGATGCAGGGAATGGGCTTTTACGATGGTCAGGCCAATGTTCGAGCGTTGTTGATGGCTGGTGGTAGCGTAGAGGGTGCGATCGGGATTTTGCTGGATAACCCGAATCCGCCAGCGCCCGGCAACTGACGAACTTGTGTCAGTATGTAAAAGCGGTCAAATGCGCTGGAATCCATTCTGTCCATGCCCTCTCAATACCATACTATGATTCTCATGAGCCTTGTGGTCGTGCGGCTGATGAGGGAAGGCACCTTCAGCACCT